GCGCAAGTTGGGTTGTTCTCCCTTATACTAACAGTCCTTAATAGGGCTTCTCGGACCCCTTAGTAGAGTCCCCATTAAGGACTGCTAGGTAGTATAAGGGGGAACATCCCAAGCTTAGAGGTTCAATCCTTCCTTTTGAGGGGGGCCTTTCAAGGGATGATGGCTCGCACCCCTAAGGATGTACCCCTAAAGGTTCCCCTTAATATACTCCCAATGTTGCCCTTATATTCCCTTAGGGATCCTTAACAAGGGACCCCAAAACCCAAGGGTACAACCTTAAGGGTCCAAGGTGGAACCCCTAGAGCCCTTGTGATTTTGGTCCGGCCGAGCCGGGCTGAAAAACTTTGAGCAAACACCCAGCCCACGCTGCCCAAAAGGGCTTCCGTGCGCTGAAGGCACGCCTCCTTCCTTGCAAGGGGTTTAGGCTTAAGGGTTTAGGGTTTTTTGAAGTGCGGTTTGGGGTTTGGGGTTTGGGTTTTAGGGTTTAGGGGTTGAGGGTTGAGGGTTCAGGGCCCGGAAATTCGCAGGGAAGGAAAGAATCCGATTGGCAGAAAGTCGGTTTTCCATGCAGTAGAGCGGAGACATCGGGGAGTTGGTACAGCGTTCATCGTGATGTTTAAGAAGTGTTTTTGGCGCCTTGGCTTGACCCTGAATCCTAAACCCTAAGCCCTAAACTAAACCCTATGCACTATAACCTATAAACCCTAAACCCGTCTGCATCAACACCCTCAGCGCTCCTCTTTGTGAAGCGATGCTTCCTGCCTGTCATGTGGATCTCTTCTACCACCACACCCCCGGCTGGAGCCACACGGACAAGTACCTAACCCTAAAGCCTAAACCCCAAGACCCTATAAAACCTAAAACTCTCAAACCCTAAGCCCTAAAGCCCTAAAAGCCTAAAACCCCAAAACCCTAAACCCTAAAACCCAAAAACTTGGGCTTTAGGGTTTTAGGGTTTTAGCCTAACACCTCAAAACCCTAGAACCCTAAAACCCTAAACCTTAAGACCCTAAACCCTAACCCCCCCCCCCCCCCCCCCCTATTCAAAGGCATCCCAAGTGTGTCCTTAAGAAAACTGGGATGCCAACCTGATGTGTCGGTTGAAGCGACCCTTGGAGACCATCAGCCCAGCATCCCTAAACCCTAAACCCTAAACCCTAAACCCTAAACCCTAAACCCTAAACCCTAAACCCTAAACCCTAAACCCTAAACCCTAAACCCTAAACCCTAAACCCTAAACCCTAAACCCTAGGTTAGGGAACGCATATCAACCCACAGGTTCTTCTCGTTTCCCCTCTTCATTCAGGGATAGTCTGGAGTCTCCAACAGGTTTAGGCTTTAGGGTTTAGGGTTTAGGGTTCCCTGAATACAGAGTAGGCCCTGATTCCCCCTTTTTTTCAGAGTCGGTTCCCTTAAAAAGCCCTTTAAACCAAAACTTCGTCAAGGCAACAACAGGGACTTTCCCTAGGTTTCTGGGAAACCTAGGATTCGCCTGGTATGGGTTTAGGGTTCAGGGTTTAGGGTTTAGAGCTTAGGGTTTAGGGTTTAGGGTTTAGGGCTTAGGGCTTAGGGCTTAGGGCTTAGGGTCTAAGGGTCCCTTAATATGGTCCCTTGCCATCTTTAAAGGGTTCTGAAGCAGGCCCTTGGGCTTGACACTCTTACCTCCGTTGGGTTAGGGTGTAGGGTTTAGGGCTTTAGGGTTTTAGGGTTTTAGGGTTTTAGGGTTTAGGATGTATGGTTTAGGGTTTTAGGGTTTAGGGTTTAGGATTCAGGGTGTGTTGCGCTGGAAGGATGGGCTAGCGGAGAGAGAGATGACACGTGACTGGCGATCACTTGAAACATTGCATAGAGGCGGGCCAGTCAAAGCTGCTGGCGCCTGCTGAGCTGCGACTGCCAAGGTCCCCAGCCTGAAACCTAAACCCAAAACCCAAAACCCTAAACCCTAAACCCTTCAAACTCCCCTGTGACACCCGTGACAGTGTGCTAGGCCCACTCCTTGCGTGGCTTTGCTGGCTTTACGTAGTGGAAATAGTCCGCGCTAGTGGTTTTTCCTGAAGCTTCATATTATTTCACGTCTTTCTGTCGCGATCAAGCTGGGTATCCGTGTTGTCTTGCCCATAAGGCGGGGCCCGAGTGAACACCGATTAACGGCCACCTTCAGGCAAAGACATGTAGACATCCGTCCACATATTTTTTACATATACATATATATGTATATACATATATATATATATGTGTATACACACGTACATACCTACGTACGTAAACGCACACACACACACACACAGAGACACACGAGACCCTAAACCCTAAACCCTAAACCCAAAAGCCCCAACTCCGCCGGCCGCTTTTTCTTTCGGAGGACCGTGGCGAGAAGGGAACGGGCCCAACATCCGGCCGCCTTTTCATGTCTCGCCCCTCCCATAGGGTCCCATGTAACTGTAGAGTGGACACTTTGACCCAGAAGGGTTTAGGGTCTAGGGTTTGAGGTTTGGGGTTTAGGGTTTAGGGTTGGAAGGTTTCAGGTTGCACTAAACTTTGTAGTTTTACAGGGGTTCAGGGTTTAGCGTTTAACGGTTGGATTCCTATAAACCCTAAGCCCTAAACCCTAATCTCTTTTAGAGGCTTAAGGCCTTAGTAGTCCATGTAAGAGTAAAGGACCCTTTGGGACGTAGATGCCTGCTCACAACGCCTTGGCCGCGCATTTTGAGAGGACCTTCCGGGGCCCCTCAGACTCCACACTCCCCGCATCTCAGAAGATGTGGTTCAGGGTTTTAGGGTTTAGTGTTTGTGGGTAAGGGATTAGGGTCTAACCCTAAACCCTAAACCCTAAACCCTAAACCCTAAGGGATTAGGGTCTAGGGGGAGGGGTCCTACTTCCTAAACCCTGAGCCCCAAACCTTAAACTCTTAAACCCAGCTTTGAAGCACGGGTTGCGCGTTACCTAGTAGTCCGGTTGGGAGACTTCAAACGGGCTTAGGGCTTAGGGTTATCCCAAGGTAGTCCGGTTGGGAGACTTCAAAGGGGTTTAGGGTTTAGGGCTATCCCAAAAAACCCAAAAGTCAAGAACTACTGCTTAGCTCTCCAGCCCAGTGGGTTCCCTCGAGAGCCAAGATGATGCTGGCATCCTGCACAGTGTCTGTGTGCCGCTGCTAAGAAGCAGCAGCAACCGGACCACCCCCTGTGGCTTGCCCAAGTGGCGGGCCCACCCGTCCTCCCCACCCGAATCTTGTGAATCGGGGCTTTCGCCATCTTATGATGGTGTGACTTTTATGACAAGGGCTTCGGTCGCGAAGAGAAGAATGCAACCCAACTCACCTTACCGTGGACCGGTGGAGGAGTAAACCCTAACCCCTAAACCCTAAACCCTAAACCCTAAGCCCTAAACCCTAAACCCTAAACGGTGGAGGAGGTGGGCCCGAACACACCATCTCAAATCGGCGCTGGGTGCGGCAATGTTCTGGAGGATTAATTGCTAGTGCGTTTAGGCGTTTAGAAGATATATGTCCATCTGCTTGTGCCTGCATGCATATGCGGGAAATATATATATATATATATATATATATATATATGTGTGTGTATATATATAGGTATGTCTATATATATATATATCTATCTATCGATCTATCTATCTATCTATCTATCTGTGTGTGTGTGTGTGTGCGGGTGGGTGGGTGGGTGGGTGGGTGGGTGGGTAGGTGGGTGTGTCTGTGTGTGTCTGTGTGTCTCTGTGTGTCTCTGTGTGTCTCTGTGTGTCTCTGTGTCTCCCTGTGTCTCTCTGTGTCTCTCTGTGTCTCTCTGTGTCTCTCTGTGTCTCTGCGTCTCTCTGCGTCTCTGTGTCTCTGTGTCTTTGTGTCTCTGTGTCTCTCTGTGTCTCTCTGTGTCTCTCTGTGTCTGTGTCTGTGTGTGTGTGTGTCTCTGTGTGTATCATCTGCACTTGCGCATGTACATGTACATGTATATGTACATGTACATATATCTGAAAATGAACGTATATATATATATATGTATATGATTTATTTGAATCTGTCCGTGTCTGAATGCCTGTATATATCCTTTACATGTACATCTTGCTCTTGGCCCCGATGAGGTTTTGACAAGCACCTTTAGAAGTCGTTCGAACCCTAAACCCTAAACCCTAAAGCCTACATCCTAAACCCTGAACCCTGAACCCCGAAAAATTGCGGTCCTCAGGGAGCATGTCTTGCACAGGCGCGCGTAGAATTGTTTTCCTCATGCAATGTTGGCTGCTGCTGCATTGTTCCCAGACACCGGCGAGCTCCAACAAAATGCACGGGATGCGTGTTCGGACTCTCTGACCTCATCTAACGTATCATAATGCACAGAGTCACGAATTTCGAAGTCATACTTACTGGTTTAGGGTAACACGAAGTCCTATAAACCTTAAACTCCCCCAACTTGGGATGTTCCCCCCTATACTAACAGTCCTTCCGAGGGAATACGGTACCCCCTATTATAAGCCCTATTAAGGGCTGATAGTATATAAGAGGGAACATCCCAACCCTAAACCCTAAATCCTAAACCCGAAGCCCTAAACCCGAAACCCTATAAACCCTATAAACCCTATAAACCCTATAAACCCTATAAACCCTATAAACCCTATAAACCCTATAAACCCTATAAACCCTATAAACCCTATAAACCCTATAAACCCTATAAACCCTATAAACCCGATAAACCCTATAAACCCTATAAACCCTATAAACCCTATAAACCCTATAAACCCTATAAACCCTATAAACCCTATAAACCCTATAAACCCTATAAACCCTATAAACCCTATAAACCCTATACCCTATAAACCCTATAAACCCTATAAACCCTATAAACCGTATAAACCCTATAAACCCTATACCCTATACCCTATAAACCCTATAAACGCTATAAACCCTATAAACCCTAAACCCTAAACCCTAAAGAGGGAACATCCCAGCCCCCACCCCTGAAAGCAAGCTCAAAATACGAACCAAACTCTGCAGGTTCCGATCACGTGGCCTTGTGGGCCGCCACGATCGGATTCGAGGTTCCTCAAAGTTTAGGGTTTAGGGTTTAGGGTTTAGGGTTTTGTGGGTGGTTATGGTTGCTAGCTTCGGCATTTGTTGCGGTGTTCGCAGTTTCTTTGCTTTGTTGCGATTGTTCGAGGGTGCTGTGGGGTTTTGGCATGCTGACTGCTAGAGCCCCTAAAATCCCCTAAACGCCACACCCCAAGCCGCAAGCGCGCGCACGATGTCCGAATGCTGACAGCTTTGAAGCCAGCACCATCAAGGCCCGAAAAAAACCCTACAAAGGGACTCCTACACCCCCCCCCCCCCCCCCCCCCCCAGCATCACAAGTGCTTACCAGGTTTTGGTTCATGGTGTACGGGTTCGAGGCGCAGCCTAAATCCCTTAAGCCTTTAGTGTAGATTCAGGGGCACCCTCCCAAACCCTAAACCCTGAACCCTGTCGACCCTAACTCCTGAACCCCCGCTCTGCCTTACTCCTAAACCGTAAACCCGAAACCCGAAACCCTAAACAAACCCTAAGCCCCAAAACCATTTCGAAGGCAGCGCGCCTCCGCGGCGGCGACCATGCGCGCCGCTTCTGCGAGGCTGCAAGGGTTGGGGGTTTAGGGTTTGGGGTTTGGGGTTTGGGGTTTGTGGGCCCCGAGGTTTAGGGTTTAGGCTGGAGAGTTTAGGGTTTAGGGCTTCGAGGGCTTTTCGGGTTTAGGTTTTTTTGGGTTTGGTGCTGAGGGCTTAGGGTTTTCAGGGAGCTCAGGGGCTCTGCCTGCTGAGTAATATGATCATCATGAACCCTAAAACCTATACCCTAAACCCGGAGAAGTTAATTATGCTTTGTAAAAAGTCCGTTAGAACAACCGCAAAGGGTACCCTATACACAGTCTTGGGTTACGGGGAACCTCCCCTAAGCCCCAAAAAACCTCGGCCTGTAGCATCCTATGCCTTTCGCCAAGGATCCCCTCCATATTCCTACTCAAACTTATGTCGAACGGGTGCTAAGGTGGCAACTTGTAACCCTGACCCCGCAACCCTAAACCGTAAACCCTAAACCCTAAGCCCAAATGCATCATGGTCCTTCCAGCCCACGGCCAACATGCGCCGCCTGCTGCAGCTTTTTTCCAGCTTGTTTGGGCCAAGGTAGAATCAGGGCCATTGCGCCAAGCATAGGACTTCAGACTTAGAGATTCGTATAGCTTGTCACCCTAAACCCTGAACCCTGAACCCTAAACCCTAAACCCTAAACCCTAATAGTTGCCGGCTTGTAGCTCAGGCGCATGTGTAGAGGCTTTCACATCGCTCGAAGGCTCATCCCACTGAAGCGGAAGGGGGCTCGTCATCACTGTTGCGCACTCTTTAACCCTAAGCCCTGAGCCCCTTATGACTCTACTTATAACTAGGGCCTAAACCCTAAACCCTTCACCCTAAACCCTAACCTCCTTGTAGAGGGAGGTTGCATGTGGCCGGTCACGCCCCAAGCCGATGCGACCGGGACCCAGCACGGACTGGGGTGTAGCTATGGATGCTCCGGTCTTGCAAGGGTTTAGGGGTTAGGGGTTGGGGGTTGGGGTGTGGGGTTTGGGCTTCAGGATGTACTATAGGGACCTGAAGAATTAGAATACGGTTTCGGGGTTGATTGTAGCATAATTCTATAGGGACCAGGGAGTACCATTAGTAATTCTTCCGACCCCTGTAGTAGGGCTCTAGGATTTCGGGACCTGCCCTTTAAGGTTTAGAGTTTAGAGGAGGGGGGTCAATAGGGGTTTTGTGCTTAAAGTTGTTATAGTTGCAGCCGAGAATTTTCTAAGGGCTTTCGTAGGCGAGCCTGCTACCAGATTCCTGAGAGGGCTCGCGGGTTCAATGGGTACACTGGGCCCTAAACCCTGAACCCTACACCCTAAACACCCTAAACCCCCTAAACACTCTAAACCCCCTAAACACCCTAAACCCCCTAAACCCCCTGAACCCCCTAAACCCCCTAAACCCCCTAAACCCCCTAAACCCCCTAAACCCTAAACCCTACTCCCCCCCCCCCTCCCCCACCTCAGCCTGTGCTCACCCTGAGGCGGCTCAGGCTCCAAAGTTAGAGCCCTTGCTGCGTGGAGAAGACCATGCTCCAGGCCGTGCTCCGGGTTTAGATCTTCTGGCTGGTGCTTAGTAGGGAATGAGGGAATTCGGGCCCTATACAATCCCCGTGGGGGAGGGTTTTGGGTTTAAGGTTTAGGGTTTATGGGGTTCATGGGGGGTAGGTACGTAGGAACCTTAGGGCAGCTTGGGGAGTAGTGGGGAGTATTAGGGAGTATTAGGGAACCGTGGGTTACGTACACGAGCCCCCTCCCTTAATAACACTAGAAGGATCTGATTTCCAAACCCAGACTCGGGTGTTGAGAGTTACGGCTTCAGGCCTTACAAGTGCTTTGTTGGGATTTAGGTCTATACGAGACAGATTTGTCAGGGTGTATGTGTTGCGGTTTTAGGGCTTTAAACGGGACATTTTTTCGAGCTTTACAATCCCCAAATGCCCTTACACCCCCGCCCCAACTCCAATCAACCCTGTGAACCCCATAAACCTTCAAAACCCCATAAACCCCATAAAACCCCATAAAACCCCATAAAACCCTATAAAACCCCGTAAAACCCCGTAAAACCCTATAAAACCCTATAAAACCCTCTAAAACCCTATAAACCTTATGAAGCTTATAATCCTTATAAGCCCTATAAGCCCTATAAATCCTATAAATCCTATAAACCCTATAAACCCTGTAAACCCTTTTAATACACCCTGTAAACCCTTGAATAAAACCCTATTATACCCTATAAACCTCATAAACCTTATCAACCCTGAAAACCCTATGAACCCTTTCAAAAACCTCTAAACCCTACGAACCCTTTAAAGAATCCTCTTAACCCTATGAACCCCTTATAAAAAAAAAAAAAACTCTAAACCCTATGAACCCCATGCCTCCCTTCGGCAGATCTACAAAAATGCGGCCATCACGCATGTGGCGCACCGAGCTTGCTCCTGTTCTGTTGGGTTTTAGGGTGCAGGGTGTTGAGGGTTTCCGGTGCAGGGCATAGCCCTTTAGGGTTTAGGGTTTAGGCTTACGGTTCAGGGCTTTGGGCTTCGGGTTTAGGGTTTAGGGTTCAGGGTTTAATGCTTAGGGTTTAGGGTTTAGGGTTTAGGGCTTAGGGTTTAGGCTTAGGGTTGAGATTTCAGGACTTTGGGTTTAGCGTTGAGGGGGTACTGTGATTCCTGATGGCCTGTGTCCAACTTCTCGTCCGCGCCGGCAACAAAGCACGTGTGGGCTTTGAAGTCCAAGGCTATGGCATCTTGAGGGCTAAAGGTTTAGGGTTTAGGGTTTAGGGTTTAGGGTTTAGGGTTTAGGGTTTAGGGTTTAGGGTTTAGGGTTTAGGGTTTTGCTTTTCTGGGCTTCAGGCTTACCTTCACAGATCAGGTTCAAAAAGCGGAGGCCGCAGTTTGGGGTTTAGGGTTTGGGGAGCTCAAACCCTGAACCCTATACACTACAAACCCCAAACCCCAAACCCTAAACCTTAACCCCTAAACCCTAAATCCAAAACGGGGTCACATGGGCGAGATTGCTCCGTCATCAAAGTACCGGACTCGCAGTGGCTCCTGATGATGCACTCGGACCACCGGTTCACAATGGTCACCCTGTGATGGATGAAACCTGAGTTCCTGCTTGAGCTTACTGACAAGGTTTCTATTGGTTGGTGGTCTCTTTAAGTAGGGTTTCTGTTTTGTGGGGGGTCTGATTGGGGTATCTAGGGGCTATACTTTAAGGTATAAGGGTAACAGACAAACAGGCCACCGGCCTTTATAAGACAAGGTGCTTGCATTCAAATGGCCTCAGACAACATTGTCCCGGCAGTTGAAGCAGGAAATGCTTATACACATTGGCCCTCTGAGTGAGGCCCTAAACCCGAAACCCTAAACCCTAAACCCTAAACCCTAAACCCTATACCCTGTAGGTGGTTGATGTCTGGCATCCCTCAGCCTTCACCTACAGCCGCTTCGGCTCCCTCAAGCTCACGCCACAAAGACCACAGAACCCTAACTCCTCCTCCTTGTTTAGGGTTTAGGGTTTAGGGTTTAGGGTTTGGGGTTTAGGGCTTAGGGTTTAGGGCTTAGGGTTTAGGGCTTAGGGTTTGGGGTTTGGGGTTTAGGGTTTATAGGGTTTCCTAAAAAGCTTCACCCTTCAAGCCACTAGACCCTGAGCCCTAAACCTTAAAGCACCTAAAACCCTGAACCCTCTTGACCTTCAAGCACCAAAAGAGCCCTCAAGGCCCCTTAAGCCCAAAACCCTAAACCAAATCCTAAGCCCTGCAAAACTTCAACTCCCAAAAGAGACGAGGTCTCGAAAGAGTCCATCGACATCCGCGCCCTGGAGATGGAGTGGTACACCAGGTCTCGTGGAGGGTTTCGGGTTGAGGGTTGAGGTTTAGGGTATGGGGTCTAGGGTTTAATTAGGGTATAGGGGTCTAGAGTTTTAGGGTTGGCACCAATGCCCTCAAACTGGCCTAAGCCTCTAACACCCTCCAAATCCTGAACCCCAAAATCCCAAGCCGTTCAGGAACTACGACACCATGGCGGCTCAGGCTCTTCTCTTTTGATTTTTTTTTGACGTTGGTTCTTAGTAGGGAGGGCAGGTACCCTATGTATTCCTTTAGCAGGTACCATAGGGAAGGGTCTAGGGCGCCCAATTTTCCTCATTCCCTACTAACCAAATTTTGGGTTTGTTTTGTCTATTGGAGGCTTCCAATACTTGGAGTACCCGTACTGCTGGCTCCCATCATAAGGATTCTACTAGTTTGGTGTCTACAAGAGGCACCACTACATTTTGGAAGTATCATTGAAGGTTTCCGAAACTCGGGGTACCTTATTGGGGTCCTTGTTCTAAGGGAATCCTACTATGGAGGGTTCAGGATGTAGGGTTGATAGGGGCAACAGAATAACCATCTGTCAGTCTGAGAGGGGAGGAGGAGGTGGACCCTGAACCCCAAACTTTCAACCCTGAACCCTATGTGATATGAGTCTATGTCTTTGAACTTACTCGGGCAAAGAGAACCCTATGACTTCGCAGAGTGTTCAAGGGCCGTGAGTCTGACTGAGTTTTCGGCTTTGGGTTTCAGATTTTCTGTTTGGGGGTCGGGCTTGCGCGGGATGACTTAAGGCATTCGGCGACCGTGCGTCGGATCGATTTTCGGGGTCTGGTGCTGAGGTGCAGGAATCGGATGCTTAGGATGGAGAATGGTGAACCCTAAACCCTAAACCCTAATTAAACCCTAAACTAAACCCTGAACCCTAAACTAAACCCCAAACCCCAAACCCCAAACCCCAAACCCCAAACCCCAAAAACCTAAACCCTGGTATCCAAAACAAGACACCCCGCAAGTGGGGAACTGCGCAGGCAGCCATGTTTGCCGGCTTCGCCTTCGAGCAAATCACGGAGTCGCACAACGAAGTTGCTGTGTGTCTTCCTGGTTCTTAGTAGGGGTTTAGGGGTAGGGTTTTGCTTGAATTCAGACGAATGACGTATTGTTGGGGCCCTCTTTATACGGCTTGCTATCTTCT